CTTTTTTAAGCCTCGTCTTATATGCGAGTATATACGGTATCATTCCTCATTTACCCAGTGATTTATATAGACATTATTGTATGGTACTGTACAATTTTTAAATTTTTTTTCAGGGAATTGAAAAACTAATTGAGACCAACACATAAAACAGGATATGCTGCTGATAAATCCCAGGACACAGAGACATGTAAAACAGTCAATGACGCTGCTCCCACAACTGCATTGTAACCAATCGCAATTCAAAAGGCATCCAACCATGAAACCCAGGTCTATGCTGTAAGTTGTACATCCCAAGGTCATCTTCTGATGCAGTCACTACAGTACAATTCAAGTGAAAAGAAATGATGTTGACAATTCAGTAAACAGTAGTGTCTCCAACAATTGTTATGCATACTCCAAGTGATCAAGTTTGAAGTAACAAATCCTGCTTCTGTCAATAGCTTTAAAAATTCACGCGTGAGCATTGCTTTACTCAGTGTTGCTGACACTGCTGCTGATTCAATTTCTAATTCCTTTCCAAAATGGCAAGAAACATCAATTTTAGTAGCAACCTCCATATGATTATCAAAAATGCTCCGAGTAATGCTAGCCTACAAAATGCAGCAAACCAGTGTGCTTCGAATGCTGCAGTATTGAAGTGTTCAAATATTTCAGCAATGCCACTAATAGGAGCTACCCGACCAGGGCCTGGCCAATCCCTTCATCTTATCCCAATGATCATTGATCATAAGCTTTACTATTTATCATCAGGCGTTTGGAAATCTACAACTGAAATAGACATTACATATAAAAATTATGCTAAAGTTGTTACACCTATATACCTGTCTGCTAATACAAAAACAGCCAATGAGAATCCAAAACAGAACAAGCAAAAAATTATTCAACAATCCTCCAAAAAGATAACTGATAAAAAAGCTTGTGTTACTGTGGTCAATTTTCAACCTTCCAATAGTGGTGATGCTAACAACCTACCTGAAGAAGGCAGGTTGTTAGCCAATGAGAATGCAAATCAGAACAAGCAAAAAATGACTCAACAAGAAAAAGCTTTTGATACTGTGGTCAAGATTCAACCTTCCAAAAGTGATGATGCTAATGAACTGCCTGAAGAAGGCAGGTCGTTAGCCAATGAAAATCCAAATCAGAACAAGCAAAAAATTATTCTACAATCCTCCAAGAATGTATTTAATGAAAAAACTTGTGATACTGTGGTCAAGACTAAACCTTCTGATAGTGATGATGACCTACCTGAAGAAGGCAGGTCGTTTGCCAATGAAAATCCAAATCAGAACAAGCAAAAAATTACTCAACAATCTTCTAAGAAAGTAATTACTGGAAAAGCTTGTGATATTGTAGTCAAGATTGAACCTTCTGATAGTGATGAAGCTAAAGACCTGCAGGAAGAAAACGGGTCTACCCATGAGGAATCTAGTTCCTTTGAAAATATCAACTTGAAAACTGAAGTCTTTTGCTTCCAAGGTTCAGAGATCAAGAAAGAAACTCTTGAGGAGACCCTATCTAATTGGTGTGTACAGTATTTTAACATTAAAGGTTGTTAAAATGCTGGATCTCTTGAAATAGTCTTAAATCATACAACTTATGCTTCCATCTTTATTTTTATAAATTAGCAGTGGTTGATCCAAGGGGAGAAGAAAAAAATTATATTAAAATTTCTGATATAAAAGTCTGATAGTGCTATCTAGAGGTGCCATAATCATACAGTTTCTTGCCTTAGCCTCAACCATATTGGGGTTGAGGTGGTATACAGTAGACCCTCCCTCTGTGAAAGTCCCCCCCTTGGAACCCTCTATTTCAAATTCTTGGATCCGCCACTGGTCAGTTTTATTGTTCTTGATCTTTAGAGTATATGGTAGCTGAATACTAGAGCAATAATTGTCAATGAATAAAACTTAGATACAATTCAGATGGCATCAACATATAGTAGCCATTGTACAGATTGGTTTGAAACTAGGAAACGAACTTTGAACAAATTTCTTCACTAAATGTTTTTTAATATTCTTATCAATCAGAATGTTTATCTTTCTACTAAAGTGTTTTCCTTCTTTTTTTACAGCACAACAGAGGAAGATGACTGTCATACCATAATAGAACATGTTGACGATGATACTGAACAAAATGAAAGCATAGTTAAATCTGGTCAAAAAAGAAAAGTTCAGCCAGAAATGCCAATAGAGGAGCCTGAATACACATGTGATTCTATTAAGAGCAAATTGAGAGGTTTCATGTGTAAAAAAAAGGTGTTTATTTACAAAAGAAAAAGATATGTATATGAGTGGAACCAGTCCTAGTGGGGAGAAACAATGCATGCATGCCATAAAATAATGTATGCAAATTTTAAGGTTGGAAAATGAAACTACTAGCTCATGAGAACCAGGCACATGGTGCAAAGTATAAGCTACTTCAGTGTAAGCCCTACTAGCTTTTGAGAACCAGGCACATGGTGCAAAGCATATGCTACTTCAGTGTAAACCCTGCATCAAGAAGTTGATAATCGCCTGAATATGTCAGGGTGAACAACTTCCGTTTCAATGTCAAGTCTGCCTGGCGAAATTCCTAAACGAGAGCTTTTTGTGAAACACATGGAATAGACCGAATCAGCGGCTCAGTGGTTTTAGTGGGTATTAGGGTTTGTTTACATCTATGGAGATCGCGAAACGACAGTGCATTGAATATGGCTTCGCTTTGTTGTTGACGAAAAGTCACATCATATATGTTGCAAATGTTGGTTGGAATGCGAGTTATAATTTGGTAAATCATTTAAAAGAGTTCCAAAATATAACTTGTCGGTTTGGTTTGGTAAGGCTCCAATGGATAGTGGGAATAAAGCCTGGAATCTTTCCATTTGTTGCAAGAGTATTATTTTACAGTTATATTAAATTTACAAAAATTAAATCATAGGATGTTTGTAGTTACTGCCAAGGATATTATGATCATCATATGACATAAATATTATTATTACATACTGGCATTAGGATATACCATACCAACCAGGCCTATTATCACCAGCCTGTTTCCTAGACCAAGTTTGGTTGAGCAATTAGTACCATTATTTTCTACTTTATTACCTACTCGACTACAGAGATATATATAGTTGAGGCATAACAACTCCCTCCCTGCTCCGGGCCCTGGTCAAGGCTTAACACTCTCAGTGCACCCTAGGCCTATAATAGGCCTACCTGTATGTAGTCTACCGTACACTAGCAGCATTCCAGAGCCTAAATAAAAGTACTTATAAATCACTATTTAAAAAAAAAAAACACATAGGTCTACTGCCTTACTTTACTTTGGGTGGCTGTCTAAAAAAAATAATAACCCCAATATACTGTGTTCAGTGAGCGCACTGTGGTTTACGATGTGGATGTTTACATTTAGGACCCACTATGTCACGTAACCAGTAATAGTCCGAGTTTACCATGTGCAATTTTTTTTAAGAATAAGAGCCTCTCAATAATATTTTTAAATTTTTAAAGGAGTGTTGATTTCAATTTAACGGTGTATTCAAGGAATCCCCAGCTGGCCCAACTCCATAATTTTTCAAACTTACAAAAAGGAATGGTAAAATGGAAATTATCAACATTTATGTCTCAGAGTGCCATTTCCAGCCATCTAGAGGTGCTATAATCATAAAATTTCTTACCTCAGCCCCAACCATGGTAGGGCAGAGGTGGTCTTCACCCTCCACCTATGAAAATCTCTCCCTGGCCCGCATTTTGAATTCCCTGATCCACCACTGCAATTGTTAATTCTATGTGCCACCAATTTTCTTGATTAGTATAGAATAGCTGCTGAGACCAAATATGCCCCTCTTAAAATAGTTATGAATCTAATTATCATTAGTATTTATTACTAGCCTAGGCCTTTAGGATTTGAGGGTAAAAGAAACACTTTTTACGATGAATTTTCTGAAAAATTAGGGAATTCCCCTATCACATCAGGGGCCCGGCAATTAATCTTGCATTGGGACCCTTTTGCACTTACTAACGCCGCTGTTTTAAGATCATGTAACTTAATAAATGTGCTGCTAGTAGAATAGTTCCATCCAAATGTTGTTTTACATGTTGATGCATTTAATTTTATAATTATATACCTTTATATTTTGATGTATTTTAAGTACTGTACATATTGCTCCAACATGAGCACAATATAGTTTAGCAGATTGCCTTATATTTTTTTATGATCTATGTTGATTGGATTACTGCACTCAACCAACATTTTAATATTGTTTACTTGAAATTCAAAATTAATTACAATATAAACAATATGATTGTGATGTAGATTTTTAACGGATTAATTACAGACCAATTATCTGTAATTATTCTACGTCACAATCACTTTGTTTAATTTATATTGTATAGTCTTGTATCAGCCAAAAATCAATATGTACTCATTATATATGAAGGACTACATCAATTAAATATAGTTACAGTGTACATGCCTCGTCATATTTTTTTGTTTAAATGCCTGTTATAGAATTTCAAGTTCAAGAACCACATGGATTCACGATATGTTGTGTGTGTGTATGTGATATGCAAATTTGTCTGCTCATAAACACAAAATCAGGAAAGATAAATAAAACTAACAGTGCTCGAATAGGAACATGATGTTATAATCTTATTAAGCATGATAGCCTGCTTTACAGTGTACAAATTTTTACAGGAGTGGAAATTGTTATGAAAGAAGAATTAGAAACTAATTTGTTGCACCTTGAATTTTGTTTTCCAAAAAATGTTCTTAAAAATACTGATTCTCAATCATCAATTCATTATAATGGCTTTTGATGTTGCTATTTGTTTTATTTTTAAAAGTATACCCCTGCATTAGCCCAGGGAGCCGCAGAAAATACTCAAGTTTAAATCCAAAACGTGTTATCATCAATACAACTTGTAGCACGGCATAAAATCAAGCATTCTCTCAGTCGATTGAGGGCGCTCTTAACCAAGGTCAAGAGATTCTCTTAATCTCATTCTCATCATCGATGAAAAGCAAAAACGAGAAAGGTAATAATATTATAATTTAGGAATTGTTTTTTTTGTCTCGATAAGTTGTAAATGGTGTACATAGTAGTGTACGCTATATGCAACCTTCATATTAGCCGTTGTTGTTCTAAACCGTAGCTATCTGGGGTGAGAATGGTTCTCTTTTGCTCAAAACACTGGAAAGGCTTGGCTTCCCAGATTTTGTCCCCATGAACATGAAGGCGCTTTTGTTGTGACAGCGATTGTTGAGGGATTGTTTCTCCGCGCAGACAAAAGTGCCTAAAGTAGGCCTGGAAAGGTGTAATTTTGTATACCTCCTTGGATCAACACACTACATCACTGCTATGATGCAATCTTGTGTTAGCATGGCAGTTTATTAAATATAAATAAGCCGGCCCTAGCCTAGGGATAGCTTCTTTTTACGAGGAGGCTAGCCTACCTGTCTGTATGTACTACGTAGCAGGGTAGGCCTACTACTACTAGATAGAAAGAATGGCTAGGCCTAGCCCTCTACCCTATCTAACTACCTTCGGCCCTCGGTTAGATCCTATCTATGAGCTGTTGTTACAAAAAATGAAAAATTAGTTCTTGATAATAATCTGTAAATAAATAGCTACAGTACTACTACTCTAGTACTATGTAGGCCTAGAGGCCTATTATTTAATAATGAGAATATAATTAAGTAAGGTTTATTTTGTTATTTGAATTAGTTTCCCAGACTTCTCAAGTACTACCAAACTTCCGTAGTTAGGCCTATATTACGGGCGTATGGAAATAGTAAAAAATACTATGGAAATTTATTCTAGGCTTAGACCCATAAATAGATATGCAAGTCCAGAACAAATGCCTTTTCCATCAAAATTTTTGGTTAAATTAACTCATAATTGTCAGTTTACTGATAAATTATTGAGAAAACTATTAGGCCCTTAAATCTACATCATGTCACGTTTGTTTGAAATTCCACATCGAATTACAGACAATCGAGCCCCAAGAAAGTGGGCCCGATTGTCTTAATTAGTTATCTATAAATCTTCATGCTATCCCTGGTTGGTTTGAAATTCCGCATGAGATGTACAGTACCTTTAATTTTGAGCAACTTCTTGCACTTAAGGTAAATTGCATATGGAAATTTTAAATTTTTTACGGAAATCTAAAGACGTCTATGGAATGCATTTTACAAACTTGAGAAGTCTGGTTTCCTAGGTTGAGTGCAGCTAGAGGCAGAGGTACAGTCCAGTAAGATCATTTTCAAATTTAGATATTTGAAAACATACTTTATTTAGCCGATACATTTTGTGTTTGCTTTCCCATCAATTCTGAAAAAGAGCTTTTCAAAATATTCCTTAAAAAACACCTTTAACTTAACTTATGTTACTCAAGTCAGAACATTTGCTATTGTGAAATATACATACAGTACAGAATGTATTAAATTTTAAACATTAAAACCCAATTTTTTGAATATATTGTTATCATTTTGTCACAACACCTCACCTATATGTTTAAATAGGCATAGCTATAGGCCTAGGCTAGAAAGAATAGCTCTGTTTAAAGCAACACCATTTGCACAGGTAGAACTAGATAAAAAGTGGTCATCGCCTTTCACTTCTGTGAAATTATGAATACCTGTTTTTTAAGTGTTTACAGGTAGATGAATCTTGAATTGTTAACAGTTTAAATATTATTGATTTTCAGGCACAAATAAAGCATATTTGTGGAAATGAATATTAAGGTTGAAAATGATGATGATGGCTTTGGTGATAAGCTATCCAGCCTATGCAGAGTTGACAACTCAAACATCTTTGACCAAACAGAAAACAGCCCTGAATCAGCCTTGCATCGTAGGTTGCTAGAACTTGGCGAGGATGTCACTATCGATAACATGATGGAGATGACAAAGGAATGGGGAAGACATTACCTAATGTCTGACAGTGAAGCAGGAGAGGATGCCAGTGGTACTGAGGAGACAGAATCTGTTGAAGATAAAGACCAGGAAGGTTCTAGTACTGATGTAGGTGCTGCAAGTATACAGGTGAAACAGGAAGTAGAAGAAAACAGTCCACTAGAAATCAACAAATACTCAAGTGTGCATGAAGATGAAATCAGTGAAACAAGGCGGATCCAATCGCTGAGAAGGACAATTTTAGAACCAATGAAGAGAGGCCATCAGGAATGTGCTAGTGAAGACATTGAGGGTACAGCTGTGAAGAGGAAAAAGAGAAGTTCACTGAACACATCTGAAGATGAATCTCGTGGACAGGACCATACCTACTGCATATCGGCAGACCTGGAGGAAAGTGATCTTGCTATAAGATCAGAAGAGAAAGAGACATCAGCAAAGTTGTCACAGTTTCTAAATATTGGTAATCAACTGCCAAGATGGAACAGTCTGGCATATGAACGTAAATTCAATGATGTACAACTGGCAGAGGCACTGATTGACAGGTAGTCCATGCCAATTAATAAGTACATTTACATTTTTTTTTGGTTTTAAAAAAAAACCCTCAAGCATTCAATTTAAAAATTAATTGTTTAATTTAAACTTAATAATTAATAGCTAATAATAATTATTAACTCATTCAAATTTAATAATATCTAATAAACAAAAATAATAATAATAATAACAATAATAATAATAGTCTAATAAACAATAATACACAGATTAACACATTGGCGCCCTGAGTGGACCTTGTCGGACGTGATCTCGCATCCCTGGCAGCTAACATGTTAAAGAAACTCAGTTTTCTTTGATTTAATTACATTTTACATGAAAATCCATAAATTTAATAACCAGCTCACTTGGCTTTAATATTTGACATCATTATTCATGGACGTTGCATACAAAATATATGGATAGACTGTTTTGAGTAAAATTTAGAAACTAACCCTAAATACAGTATCTGAATTGAATTTTTTTGTTTAATTTTAACATTTTTTTTTGTATTTGCTTAGTTATTACTATGTAAAGCAGGGTGATGCTGCAAGAGTGCTATTTGGAAAGGAATACAAGAAATGGATGAAAGTTAAGAAGGTTCTCAACTTAGGAACGCATGAAGATTTGGCCCAATTCCTTTTGAATTTGTAAGACACTGTTATTTTTTTTAATCATAATGCGTAGCGGTGCTGTGTATTTGAGGTGTTAAGAGGAGTGGTGGTATTGAGAGGGGTAAAAATAATGTGCTGCATTGAGTGGGGATTAATGGGCTCAGGGAGAGTGAAAAATCTTGTTGAGGAGGTGCTAATAATGAGTAGACTCTCCTGAGATTATGTAAGAGTACTGAGATGATGGGGTGGAGGTATTGAGAGGGAAGTTTTGATGCCATTGGCCTGGATTTACAGGACAAATACATGATTATGAAACGAATGAAAAAGAACCTAATTTACATAAATAATTACTGTACATGTGAGTGGAGAATTAAAAACAAATTGTATTGCACTATTTAAACTTGATTTTTCATTTGGATAAAAATTTTCTTTGAATAACCTTTAAGCATTTATTGATTTGTTCCTAAAGTTATTTTGCCATTTATCCATAATGATAATCTTGTTTAATGTGAATATTGTTATACTTCATTAAAAAACAAAATGTTAATATTAGAAATGACCTGCTTTAAATGTAAAATCTAAATATGTATAAATAATTTTGGGTTTTTTTCAGTTATACCTCTTGTTCCTGCTCAATCCAACAAGAAGCAAGCAAAGAAATGTAAGTTTATGACGAATTTTTAGACTTAATTGATATTAGCATATCTCACTTGTTAGAAAATCATATATTTATATTTCTTTTACATTTATATGCAAGGACACTTGCTAATTAAAGTGTTATAGGCCGATATATACTCATCATGACAATATTTACATGTCACATGTATTTGTCTGGACAGGGTTTAAGCATTTTAAGGAGATTAGTCTAATGCCCTATTCAGACTACACTCTGTTATGAGGTTTGCCCTATAAACATCTTTATCACCGTGTCCAGAACACAGCTGCAAGGATCATTACACACACCAAAAAACGTGAACATATCACACCTATTCTTAAAAACCTACGCTGGCTTAAGATCGGTGATCGAATATTTTTCAAGATAATGCTTCTAACTTTCAAGGCACTTAATGTTCTTGCGGTGTTTCTGACCTTCTTAAACCTAAATCCACAACACAACTTCTCAGATCATCTAGTAAACAGCTTCTTGAACAAAGCAAATGAAAACTAAAAAATTTTGGAAAACGTTCATTTTCATGTGCTGCCCCTATATTATGAAATCCCTAATACCACTGCCATCAGTTTATCTTCAAGTGTTTTTCTTTTTGAGAAAAAGTTAAAAGCTTACCTTTTTTCAATCTCATACTAAGTGATTCACACAGAAATGTATATAGTTTTTTTTACATTTTCATAAGTTAAATTTTTCATGTGCACTTTGAGTAATGTCAACATCATTAGCACCACTGAACATTGTATATGCCGTGGATATTGGCGCTTTACAAATGACTGTTGATTGATTGATTGATAGATTGATTTATTGAGGGCATTCAGACCAATTCAGACACAAAAACCTTATATTGGATCGGTAGGTCAGACGGTACTAGGCCTCTAGACCTATGTTGACTGACCTCTACCAATCAGTGTCTGTGGAATCCGTTGCTAGAACCGACTACATTGCGATGCTAGTCTGAATAGGTTTAAAAACAAGGACATGTACCGGATTTCATCAACCAACAAAATACAGCTTGCATCAGTGTTCAATTATACAGGAAGCATGTCATTGTCATTATTTTTTTCAAAGTTGTAAGACAACTCTGGTGTTATAATCATAAAGGTCTTGATTTGTTTCCAACACTGTTTACTTCTTTGTGTCTGTGTTTGAAATTTAAATATAATAAATGCTACATTATTTATTTTATTGTAGTGATACCCCTCAGGAAAGCCCAGCTGATACATTACCAAGTGCAGAAAAAACGTAAGACATTTTATTTTCTATTTAAAATAATTGACAATTCTACTCAATAGAAACTATTTTTAGTAGTGGACCAAGCTAGATTCTCCAGCTACTGCCTACCCATATTAAGGGACTCATTTTCTCCATCATTTTTGCTATTTTCAAAATTCTATGTCCATTCATTCTGTTCACAAAGTTATTAGTTATAAAAGTTGGTATTAATTTTGGTGTAGACTTGTGTTCTACAAGTGTATGAATAGAACACAACAAATCAGAGTTAAAATGGAGGTAACAGGAATTAGAGGTATATTACCTGTAACAACTTTGATCAACATCCTCCAACAATTTACCTTCTATACCGACTGGTAGTAACTCAAGTTTTTTTTTTAAAAGGCCACCCTCAAAGCGTGTGCGTCTTACCTCCGATGATCGAAGTTAACAATGACCTTTTTATGTCAAATAACGGTTAAACAGCAATTCGCGTCGAGATTCAATTGCATTCATTTGATTCCAAACTAGGCCTAGCCTAACAAATATGGCGAAGAAAATGAGAACAGCCAACTGGGCGGATGATGAAACGCTTCACCTCATAGATATTTGGAGCGATCTGGAAATAAAACACAAATTGGGAACAAAAAGACCAAGCATACAAGCTGTCTGCAGCAAAATTGCTGCGAGGTTGGCTGAGCTTAGGCACCCTGTACGAACTGAGATACAAATCCATTGTAAAATGAAGGACCTGAGAAGGCTGTACAAGGCGGCCGTACATGACCTAAAGCAGGCCGGTCCAGAAGCCCACCTGCCCATGCAGTGCCATTTTTTTTATAGGATGCATGAATTGATGGTACATAGGACATCCATAAATTCACCAGCGTGCGCAACTGGAGAAAGTACTCCAACAGACCAGGATGGTAAGTGGGCCTAAACTAAAATCAGCGGTAGCTAGGTTTAATGCAGTAATACATTGTTAATATATGATGGCTTACATTATTTGAATGTGCTACCATTCTGTATAAGCCTAATGATAGGAGAATAGCTGGTCTGATATTTTATATTACTACTTTTACATATAACATTTTAAAATAATTCTATTCTTGTATTTTGATATGCATTTGATTTGCACAGTAAAGTTTATATATGTACAGTATATAACATAGTCTAGTAGAGTACAATTATTATTTATTATTACAAAGTATGAGATGGTAATACATTGTTTTATTATGCTAAAGAAACTATTTCATTCGATCCAGAGCTAGAAATATGGAATGATATATGTAGAAGGAATAGGAATTATACTATATTTGTAATTTTGAAATATTAAATATTAAATCATAGCAATAAATGTGTACTCATTTCTAGAAGATGTTTATATGGACAGTGACAAAGGCAGTTGCTATGGAGACAACACCGAAGAGCAGGATAAAGAAGACAATGAGAAAATGAAAGGACTAAAGCAACATGACAAAGAAAAACAACAAGAGAGTATGGATGAAATAGAGGTTAAAAGTAATGACAAAAGTAATGATGATGATGATATAAAAATTAAAAAGAAAAGAGCCCCAAACTGGTCTGATGAAGAAGTAAATCACCTTTTGGATATAATGATGGTGCCTCACATAAGAAACCATGTGGAATCCAATTCACGAGACAAAACAAAAACTTGGAACAAAATTGCAGAGAAGTTGACTAATCTTGGACATATAGAAAGGAGTGGGATGCAAGTCCAAAACAAAATAAAGTACCTCAAAAGTACATACAAGCTTGTCAATGATCTAGGTGGACCTGGTACAGAGGCTGGATGTATTGAGAAATATCCGTTTTACTATAAGATTCATGAATATATGGTAAATAAGCCGTCAAACAAAGCTGCTGGCCTGATTGGAGAGAGTGCTGTGACGGAATGTAAGTTGGTAACAAGCACATCAGTGCTAGGTTTTTGTTTTTTAAGTGATGAATGGTTAGAAACTTTGCTTATGATATGTCTAGGCCTGTAGTAAAATGAAAATGGACTGACTATGAATTGACACAAACAACCATTTTTTTTTGCTTGCTTTCAATCTGCAGTTTTTTGTAAGGTTGTAAGTTTAAAATATACTTAATAAAGATTTTATATTTTTTTCATTCCAAATTTTTATGCAAGTTCTAGAAGATGTGCATATACATAGTGATGAAGAAAGTTTTGATGAAGAAGGTGCCCAACATGAGGATGAGGAGTACAATGAGGAAATGAAAGAAATAGAAAAACTTGCCAAGACAGTGCATAATGAAAACATGGAACCCAGTGTGGAAGAATTTGTGCAAAGCAGTATACAAATGCGAAAAAGAGCTACAAATTGGACAGATGCTGAAGTCCATCACCTGTTAGATATTTTGATGGTGCCTTATGTAAGACATAAGTTGGAATCCGAAGTACATGACAAAAGAGAAATTTGGAACAGTATTGCAGCAAAGTTGACTGATCTTGGACATCTGGCCAGAAATGGTATGCAAATCCACTGGAAAATAAAGGCCCTGAAAAAGGTGTACAAGAATATCAATGATCTAGGTGGACCAGATTCAGGATCCAGATTTATTGAGAAATATCCTGTTTACTACAGAATCCATGAATTTATGTCAATTGGGATGTCCAAAAACACTATTACAGTTCCCACAACAGTAGAGAGCCCTCTAAAGGAAGGTGATGGTAAGTACACTTAAACACATTTGTATAGTATAACTATGTTCTGTACTGTAGTAGTCCAGTGGCCCACTATGTATCATCTCTTTTGTCATCTCAAATTTTTTAATGGATCACAAGTTGATGACATATGCCATTTCCCGCAGATTTTCAGCCATAATTTTGATGTTGACGTTGCATTGCCAGGTTTTAATGGGTTACGTTCTGACAAAATGAATATATAAATTTAATAATACAGTATTTATATTAAACATATTCTTTTAAAAACTTAAGACGTCAAAATTACATATTTACTGTATTATTTTGTACTGTAATAAGTAGAAGTAATAGTATTTATATTTGTAATTTAGAAATAGTAAATCATAGCAATAAATTTGTACACATTTCTAGAAGATGTCTATATGGACAGTGATGAAGACAGTTACTATGGAGACAATACCGAAGAGGAGGATAAAGAAGATGAGAAAATGAAAGGACTAAAGCAATATGACAAAGAAAAACAACAAGAGAGTATAGATCAGAACATCAAAGAATTTATGCAACATTGCAGTCATATAACACGAGATAGTAATGACAAAATTAAAGATGATGATGATGATGATGATATAAAAATTAAAAAGAAAAGAGCCCCAAACTGGTCTGATGAAGAAGTAAATCACCTCTTGGATATAATGATGGTGCCTCACATAAGAAACCATCTGGAATCAGATTCACGAGACAAAACAAAAACTTATAACAAAATTGCAGAGAAGTTGACTAATCTTGGACATATAGCCAGAAGTGGGATGCAAGTCCAAAGCAAAATAAAGTACCTCAAAAGTACATACAAGCTTGTCAATAATCTAGGTGGACCTGGTACAGAAGCTGGATGTACTGAGAAATGTCCGTTTTACTATAAGATCCATGGATATATGGTAAATAAGCCGTCAAACAAAGCTGCTGGCCTGATTGGGGAGTGTGCTGTGAGGGAAGGTAAGTTGGTAACAAGCACATCAGTGCTAGGTTTTGTTTTTTAAAACGATGAATGCTGCTTAACTTGTGATTAAAATGTTAGTAAATGAAAATGGAACAGCAATGAATTCCTCTTGACAAGAATTTTTTTGCTCGCTTTTAAGTTACAGACAATTTTGCTATTATTTTTGTTGTAGGAGTTTCGTGCATATCTGACGAAGCCAATTACCTGGAAGGAGAGGCAGAAGAGAACGATGAAAAAGAATTTGAGTACATAAAAGATGAAATAGAAAACACAAAAGAAGAGGAAATGGAGAACAGAGGGCAACATGAAAACAGAGACCAACTTAAGAACATGAAACAGATTGTAAATGAAAGTTCTGAAGAATTTTCAAAACATGTGTGTACAAGTGTTGAAAGAATTGTTGAGAACATGTTGAGTATAAAAAGGAGAAGAGGATTTAATTGGGCAGATGATGAAATTCATACACTCCTAGATATTTGGAGTGAGCCTAAAATAAGAGAAATATTACAATCAAATTCACGTAGCAAGAAAGAAGTTTTTGACAAAATTGCTGTAAAGTTTGCTGATCTTGGATACATTACTAGAACTGGGGCACAAATCCGTTATAAAGTAAAGGACCTGAGAAGAGCATACAAACTGGTGAATGACAAAGGTGGACCATCTTCAATTTCAACAGATGAATTGATGGAGCAGTGTCCATTTTACTACAGAATCCATGCAATATTGGTAAACAGCACATCCATAAATGCATCTGCTAGTACGTTAGTGGAGAGTACTACAATGGAAGGGGAAGATACATGTAAGTGCCCTATATCTACACATTTTTTTTTATAATATACTGTGGAACTTCCCAGTACTCTCTCTCCCATGCTTAAATACAGTAATGCTGTAACCCCGACCACCTTAAAATTTAGACTATAAAGTATAATAATCAACCCTTACTCTACTATAATAGCCCAGATGAGTTGGTAATACCAAGCTCTACAGGATGGGGAACTTCCAAACCCATTTGCTGGTATCGATAACAGTGGCACTCACAGAGCATCCGATATGATTGACAGTGGGGTGGGAAACAAGGGGCAGACTAGGGCTTGGTCAGGTTCCCGGAATAAAAATTCCTGGTAGGATTCATGGGGCCAGATTTTGTTATGAATTAAGTATGACCCAAAATTGTGTTTTAAGACTAGTATATTTGGAATTGCCAATCAAAATAACGTAAAAAAAAAAAATTAATATTTTTACCTGATGATCCTGTTGTGGCATCGGACAAATGCCACTGCCCCCTGCTGCCGTCACCACTGATCGATAATTGATGATGAAGCAGATTCTACTGATGAATTAATAAAATTATTTTAATTAAATTAATTTTAAATATAACTTAGGTACTCTCTTTAAATTTATTAATACTGTGAATTTAATGATTTTATGTATCATTTTATGCTATGTCAAGATGACTCATACATACTTAGTGATGAAGAAATTAACCAGGAAAGTGAGGAAGAACAGAAGAATGAAGGAAAGGAGGCACTTGAGTACTTATACCTAAAACATAGAATTAAAATAGAGGAACCTGAAGTAGAGCAACATGAAAACAGGGGTCAACATGAATTTGAAAACAGAGGTCAACATGAAAACAGAGGTCAACATGGAAACAGAGGTCAACAAGAAGATAGAGAGCAACATGAAGTCAGAAAGCAACATGAAAACAGAAGTCAACTAGAAGTTGAAAACACAGTGCAACATGGAAACAGAGGTCAGCATCAAGACAGAGAGCAACATGGAAGCAGAGGTCAAATTGAAGAGAGAGAGCGACATGAAAACAGAGATCAGCCTGAAGTTGAAAATAGACAGCAATATGAGAACAGAGGTCAACATGAAAACAGAAAGCAAGATGAAAACAGGGATCAACTTAAAGTTGAAAACAAAGGGCAATATGAAAACATGGAGCAACATAAAAACAGAGGTCAAAATGAAAATACACAGCAACTTAAAAACAGAGTAAACCATGAAAACAGAGGGCAAGATAAGAACAAGGAACAGATTGTGAAAAATAAAGTCACAGAATGTGAAACTTTTGATGAGTTTTTAAAATACTGGAATCAAGTTCCGATGAATGATGAAAGTAATTTTAAAAAAGATGATATGTTGAAAAAGAGAAGAAGAATTACTTGGGCAGATAATGAAATTCATCACCTCTTAGATATTTGGAGTGAGCCTAAAATAAGAGCTGTATTACAGTCAAATTCGCGTAACAAAAAAGAGGTTTTTGACAAAATTGCTGTAAAGCTAACTGCTCTTGGACATGTTGCTAGGAATGGGGGGCAGATCACCCGTAAGATGAAGGAACTAAGGAGAGCATACAGACAAGTAAGCAACCAAGGTGGACCATCTTCAATTTTAACAGCTGAATTGATGGAGCAGTGTCCATTTTACTACAGAATCCATGCAATATTGGTAAATAGTACATCCACAAATGCAACTGGTAGCACGATAGGTAAGTACTGTATTTTATATAATAGCTATACGATTACATAATAGTATTCCAGTGGTCCACCACTTTGAACAACACAGCATTGTTTTCAATGATACGCTTCTTAATGACGTTTTTCAATTTCTGTTAAATGTAATATATTGATTGCATATCATTTATCTTTATACAGTAATACTTTTATAGTTTTTCTAAATGTTTTAGTCTGAAGTGTGATTACTTACTGTGTATAGTGTATCATGTAATTATTATTATTATTATTGTTGTTATTAATTATACAAATTGAAAATTATCAAAATAATGATTATTTTATTCTAGGTCTCGAAGACTCGTACATAAGTGATGAAGAAAATGAGGGAGAACAGAAAGATGAAGAGCAATTTGAGCAACATGAAAACATGGAACAGATTTTGGAAAAGAAAGGCATGTTAGAAGATTGTTTATATGTTGAAGATGAAACAATAAATATAAAAAGGAGAAGAGGTATTAATTGGGCAGATGATGAAGTTCATCACCTATTAGATATTTGGAGTGAGCCAGAAATAAGAGATGTATTACAATCAAATTCGCGTAACAAAAAAGAGGTTTTTGACAAAATTTCCGTAAAGCTTACCAATCTTGGACACTTTGCTAGGAATGGGGCACAGGTCACCCATAAAATAAAGGACCTAAGGAAAACATACAGGCAGGTGAACGACCAAGGTGGACCATCTTTATTTTCAACTGCTGAATTGATGGAGCAGTGTCCATTCTACTACAGAATCCATACAATAATGGTGAATAGCACATCCACAAATGCACCTGATAGCATGATAGGTAGGTATTGTATTTTATATATTAGCTATATAGTTATTAGTATTCTAGTGGCCCACCATATTAAATATTACAACATTGTTTTCAATGATACGCTTCTTAATGACGTTTTTCAATTTCTGTTAAATGTCATAATCTTATATTGATTGCATGCCATTTATTCTTATATTGTATTTGTTTTCATAGTTTGTTTAAATATGTTGCATTTCATGGTGCTTTCAAGTTTTAGTTTGATTACTTACTGTATACCTGTATACTGTAGTGTATCATGCAATTAATAATGATTATTTTGTTCTAGGTCTCGAAGACTCGTACATAAGTGATGAAGAAAATGAGAGAAAACAGAAAGATGAAGAGCAATTTGAGCAACATGAAAGTGTTGAACAGATTGTGAAAAAAAAAGTTACGGGAGAAGATTATTTAAATGTTGAAAGTAATGATAAAAAAGAAGATGAAACAATAAATATGAAAAGGAGAAGAAGATTTACTTGGGTAGATGATGAAATTCATCACCTTTTAGATATTTGGAGTGAGCCTGAAATAAGAGATGTATTACAGTCAAATTCACGTAACAAAAAAGAGGTTTTTGACAAAATTGCTGTAAAGCTAATTGCTCTTGGATATATTGCTAGGAACGGGGCACAGGTCTCAAATAAAATGAAGGACCTAAGGAGAGCATACAGACAGGTAAACGACCAAGGTGGACCATCTTCATTTTCAACAGCTGAATTGATGGAGCAGTGTCCATTTTACTACAGAATCCATGCAATATTGGTAAATAGCACATCCACAAATGCAACTGGTAGCACAATAGGCGAGAGTTCTACAAGAAAAGCTATTGGTAAGTGTGCATACACATGTTTTATATAATAGCTATATAATTACTAGCATTCTAGTGTCCTACAGGGTGGGGGGGGGCACTCAATCTACATCTGATTACCTGTTTGTGTGACCATGCTTCTAAAAAAGGGCCTATACACATTTTGCAATGCCAAGGAAAAGCACCCCTTTTCACATAGTATATTAAAATCTTACCCAAAAATAAGTATTTGGAATGAACCAATTCAAGCAAGAGGGGAAAAAAATTGCTGAATTGTGTACGTGGATGTACGTCTGGTGATTAATTTGTTGTACTGTGTGAGAGATGCACGGTTGTGATGCTGGTCTCACTCCAGTTTGCACTGCGTCGGCCGGGAGTCGGCTGATGCTGCCTGACACATAGCGACGCAGATCCTAAGCACGTTTTTAATGTCCTTGATATGATACAATACAGTATACTGTATATAGCAATTTGAGCTTTTTTCAGACCATAAAAGCGTAAAGTACATTACTGTACATGACTTTTTACGTGATTTTTGTCACTCACATAGGTCACCGAGGTCAAGGTGAGTGGCCCCCTGGAGCCCACCACATTGAACATCCCATAGTTGTTGTGACTGATACAGTTTTTAATTGTGTTTTTCAAATTTGGTTTGATGTCATAGTGTTATCTTGATTGCCTCTATACAACTTACATTTGCTTTCGTAGTATTTATGAATATGTTGCATTTAAGGGTGTTGTTAAGTTGTAGTCTGGTTACTGTATATAATGTATAATGCAACTTACAAATTTATAATTATCAAAATACTTATTATTTTATGTTAGGTCAAGAAGACTCATACATAAGTGATGAAGTAAATGAGAGAGAACAAAAAGATGAAGAAGAAGAAACAAATGTAAAAAGGAGAAGAGCATTTAATTGGGCAGATGATGAAATTTATCACCTCTTAGGTATTTGGAGTGAGCCTGAAATACGAGATAAATTACAATCAAATTCGCGTAACAAAAAAGAGGTCTTTGACAGAATTGCTGTAAAGTTTACCAATCTTGGACACATTGCTAGAAGTGGGACACAAATCCATTATAAAGTAAAGGACCTGAGAAGAGCATACAAACTGGTGAATGACAAAGGTGGACCATCTTCATTTTCCTCAGCTGAATTGATGGAGCAGTGTCCATTTTACTACGAAATCCATGACTTAATGGTAAATAGCACACCCACAAATGCACCTACTATCAACCTAGAGAAGAATTCTTTGATAGATTGGGATGGTAAGTTGGAAAGCACACGTCACTGCACTGCTTTCTGAGTATAGTAATAATCAAAGCTTTTATAGTAGTACTGTACTGTATTATTAAGAACATTTTAGATGGTTAAGGTTCTTGCCTTTTAATTGCAGAATCCTGTGTCAAAATCCTTACCAATTTATGACTCTAGTAAATGACTTCACTTAAAGAAAAGCATCTTAACCACTGATCTATAAATCAAATTTAATGGAATCATAAATTTCAATTAGGACATAAATGAAATCTGATGATGTTTGTCATTTCCCAAACATTACATACTCAGTACATCGTGAAAAAAATCACTAATTGATTAGAGTGTGCAATGGTACTGAGACTCTATTGCATAAACAAAACAAGTTTAGGCAAATTATTGTTAGTTGATTTTTCCTGGTACAATATTCATTTGGTATTAATAAATCTTCATATTCTTTTAAATATTTTACTAATTCTGTGCATGGAGGAGTGAAAACCATGTTCTGTGTAGTCTAATTGGAATAATAGACATCATTTGGCTATTTTTAACATCAATTACAGAAGACTTGCATACCTCTATGGTTAGTGATGAAGAAAGTTGTCAGGAAGATGATGAAACAGTAACAACAAAATGGAGGAGAGCAACAAACTGGTCTAATAATGAAATTCAATGCCTCATAGATATTTGGAGTGAGCCTGATATACGAAGCGAAATACAATGCACAAAACCATTTAAAAAAGATGTTTGGAATAGAATTGCAGTCAGATTAGCTTCTCAAGGCCCTTTTTACAAAACTGGTGTCCAAATCTACAACAAAATGAAGAACCTAAGGAATTCATACAGGAACCTCAGTGATGGACACTGTTCAAGAGAACAGATTTTTAGAGAGTTTCCATATTACGACCGAATCCATGAAATAATGGGAAATATGGAAACTACACATACAACTACTAGCAAGTGTGGGGAGACGACTATTCAAGGTAATGGTAAGTAGTCTAGACATTTGTAGTAAGTCGGTAAGCACTGTATTGGTAGCACTTTTATGTATTTGAATATTGAATGAAAGATACCGAGATATATGATATGCATACTGTATATCGTCGTATTTAGCATACTCTGTGACTATTAATAGTACTGTAATACCTTTTTACATTAGTTGTAGAAGAGGTAGAGCAGAAGAAAATAGAACAGTTAGAGCAATGTGAGAACAAAGAACAACCAGGGCGAATACATGTAGAACAGTGTAAGACTATGAAGCCATACGAGAACATACGCAAGCCTGAGAATGTGAAGATGGTCAAGAAAGAAGTTGAGGAAGACGAAACTATGGAAACAAGCACGTTTGAAGGTATTGAAAATGTGTTAAAAATATATGTAGTATTCAATAAAATACACAGAACCTATAAGTTCAATTAGTAAAACCTTAAAACAGGAGCATAGGCTGGTTTTGGGTAGGTCGGGGAAGNNNGAAGGGGGTGGGGGGGGCAGAGGTTACGAAAAATTAAAACCTGAAACTTGAATCCCTATTCCAACGAAATGGTCATTTTTTAGTATTTTGACCCACATAGTGGAACTAATTTGCTGCCAGTGGGGGTGGGGGAGGTGTCCACCAGTTTACACACATACTTAAAAGGTACAGTTGAACTTGCTGAAGTCGAATCCAAAATGGCATTGATAAAACTGTTCGACTTAGATAACATTTCACTTACAGGTCATTAATTAATAGAAAACACAACAATTTGGCATGTAAAATAAGATCGATTTAGAAATTATTCCAGTTATTTCGAAAGTCAATCAAATATAGAGGGCGAACTGTATACAGAAATATAAAATCAGAAATGGTCTAAACATTACAGAAATGCCAAGGTAGCTAATGAGTAATTAAACAATAATATATATATATTTTTAACAAAAATAATTTTTTGAATGCACAGGTTGTTCCAGTACTGTCCCAAGGGTAGCAGTGCGACATAGGCATCCAATAATAGATGACCAAGAAGGTAATTATGATATTAATTAATCAGTCATGTATAAGACAAAAACAGTAAAAATAAAATGGTTAAATCTATGCAAGTGTTTTTAAGTTTATTTTAAATTTTTAACATTATTGTATAAATTATCACATATATTTTATTACTTTTTGATTCAACCTGTTAGTGGCAGTTTTAATCGCTGTTGGTTTCGAACTGAATGAAATAATAATTTTAAAAAAAATAAGCCAGTTGTATTTTTCTTTCATGAAATCTTTTGAAATATTCAATAAAATCAATTATGTTTGTTTTATATTTCAAACAATTATACATAGCTTCAAAAATGCTATCAACAATATTTGTTTAAATTTAGAAAAGGAGGTATCAAAGAAAAAGTATGCCTTGTAATCACTTAAAAATTATGGGAAACCCTACCCCAAAGCTTTTTTTTGTAGGTTTGCTATGAGTTAATAGGTACTGGCTGAAAACAATATTTGTTATTTAATAATGATATTATATTTTGTATTATTGTTACTATAACACACTACTGATTATTTATGAATATTTTTATTATTGTATTATGATTTTCAGGTCAGAAAAAACCATCAAATTTATCTCCAAAGTCCTATGCAGTTCTGACGAAAACAATGGTACGTATAACATCAGAGAACAATAGGAGATTGAGGGCTGAAGAAGAGAAGAGGAAAAAGGATGCTAAGCACATGAAAGCAGAGAGCAAGTGTATGACAAAGATACTGGAACTGATGAAGGCTGATGTGCAGGGGAGGAAACTTGCCAGGGAGGAAAGATCCAGGCAACTTCAAACTATGATGCAAGTTATTAGTGGAAAGTCATTGGCAAATCCATTGGCAAATCAGCCCAGTACTAGTAACACTAATGAAATAATAACAATAAGTGATGATTCTCTTGATTAGTAATTAGGAAATCCTGCTATTAAAGGACTCCAAGAACCCAGTCATGTATGATAATTATATATATATTTTAAATACTGTGTTCCAAAGTATGGTGCTACTACTAATGATAGTAAATAGATAAATATAAGGATTTGTGTCTGGTATTTATTTAGATTAAATCTTATGTAATCTTACGTATTAAATCAACAATATGATCTTTATATGGTTTTTATACCGGAGGTGCTAACCATAATAGTTTTATTCTTTCAAATTGTTTATTTTTTAGTGAGCCTGTGTCAACTCAAATTGTGTGGAACATGAAGCGTTTTAACCTACAAAAGCCCATTAGTGCCACTAAAGTATATGTTTTCCTTAATTTTGGATTAATAATCCATAATTATGAATTACTAATCCATTGTTACAAATTAACTGATCAGAAATTAATAATTCGTAATAACAAATTATTAAATTCATAATAACGGATTAGTAAATTTGTTATAACAAATTAGTAATCCGTAATAATGAATTAATTGTAATTCGTAATTACGGATTAGTAATTCATTATTACGGATACTAATTCATAATAACAAATTCATAATGGATTAGTAATTTGTTACGGATTAGATACTATAGGAACAGGACAGGACCAAGACCACTACATTGGGGTAGTCTTTAAACCATTTGATTTTGTTGTTTTTTGTTCCATAATTTAAACAACAAAGCGTGATCAACGGTATCAAAACATTCTGAGCAAAGCAAGTTCCAATTGTGAGTCAAAAATATTGGATTGGCATCTGATGAAATAAAGTCAGAAAAAGCTTTTCATAGGCGGAAACATTGTGTATTAGCATGTACTGTAACCCCCAAAATGAACCCCGACTGGTGCTCCAAGCCCCTAGCAAGGAGGATTTAAGAGTTCAATTCAAAAGAATGCTCATTCACAGTAATCCCATTCTAAATTATTAGTAAAAAGTAACATGAAAGTTGTTGGAATTAACTACAAACATTCAAAATTTGACACTATATTAAATTGCCATTTCTGTACATCTGAGGCGTCCTCAAAATCCCTAACCATGATGGGGTTGAGGTGAGCAAGGTCTCAAACTGTACCTTTGAGACAAAATACTGTAGAACCTTCACTGCTCCTCTCTCTTTAAAAATCCTGCCTGTACGAGCTTGTGCTCTCAGCCAGATCATGGATGCTGAAGCTTATACATGCAGAGGGTCGCTTGGCATGCAATCTCAAAACCAGCTTCAATAACCAAAACAAAAAAAATTAATTTTTAATATATTCATATTTAATTACCCACATTATAGAGCTTAAAAAATGATGAGTCTGTTAAATTTACTATTGTAAATATATATTCACATTTTATTTAAAAAAAAATCACATTCTACAATATCCTGCAGTTTGTGTAACAGTATACAGTATTGGCATTTCTATTTGACACAATTAATGAACAACATTGACATTGACTCCTCTGCATGTTTTGTATTGCGCAAAAATCAAATATGGTAACTAATCTGTGTTATAACGAATTAATAATGCGTAATAACAAATTAGTAATCTGTAATAACAAATTAGTATTATTAAATAAATTCATTAAATTAAATAATTATTAAATTCTTTATTTCACCAAATCACACAATATAAAATAGAAACAATAATATAAGTACAAGTGGGGACCTAAAATAAAGCAAAAGCTTGTGATTATGAGGCCCCAATAAAATATTCCGTAATATTGAATTAGTTTATTCTTAATAACAATTAGTAATCTGTAGTAACGGATTAGTTAATTTGTAATAACAAATTAGTAATCTGTAATAATGGATTAGTAATTTGTAATTACGGATTACTGAAGATATACTTTAGTGGCACTAATGGGCTTTTGTAGTACTGACCGTCTTTATCGCTATGTATGTTGACGTAAGTCCTACAATTCAAAATTGTGTCTGGTATTTGTTTTTTGGTATCTGATGAAGTGCCAGTTGTTTTAGTTTTTTATGTCAATATTTACAGTATCGTATTACATATCTGTACTATACAAATCATGTTGATATGTGCTAGGTGTCATTAAGAATATGATGTTAATAAAATATAATAATAAAACTGATTTTTCTACTGCTGTATTTTCATGTTTTCTTGACATTTATAAACTAATTTGTAGTTGACATGCCCATATCAAGGTCAAAGGACATAAACATACCTACATTCATTGACCTTGGATATGGGCATTTGCAATTCAAACTAAGAATTGACTTATTGCTTTATCAGTATATACAGTAAATATACATTAGTTATTCAAACCAGAAGATAAAACAAATTCCGGTTACCTTTGACAACCCTGATTTAATGCTAATACTCCGTCCACTAGCTCCAGTGTGTGTGAACATCTCTTATGTTAAAACATAAGTACAAAACAACCATAGCATCCAGTAAGTACAGTACACTAAGGAATGATTCAGGATGTTCCTGTTGAGGTGGTGCAGATCTTCAATAAAGGACCTATCGTCTGAGAGGATGGTTTTGGGAGTCGTTACCCTTCCCCCTACTGGGGGTTCGTTGGTAACACACATCATAGAAATAAAACAAGATTTAATTGAAGACATCATGAGTACAGAACAGAAAAAAATGAAAATATGATCAAGCCCTTTCCTTCTGGACTTCCTATATGTAGGTCATTGTTATGCTATTTTATGTGGTACGCTAATTATTAATGAGATGAAAAGCTATGGTAAATATTTATGATAAATATATATGCACGGTATCTGGTGTTTTACCTGTTTCTTTCAGAAAACTTTTATTCATTTACATAAAACCGAATTGTATTCCTAATTTCTACACAACTGCATTTTCCCTAATTTCCCTAAAGTTCATTATATTATTAAGTTGCTGTGCTTATTTGTGAGTGGCCCCATACTGTAAAATTAAGTTGGGTGTATTCATGTGTATATTATTTAATACTCATACTGTACTATTAATAAAGGTAAATTTAAAGGTAGGAGAATAACCCATAACTTGCAGCGTCATTGTGCTGAATTGCGTATGGGGGTGGTCCGTGACTACCTAGCAGCCGTAAAGAGGCGCTTCTTGGTAGATACATGTACACATTATTCCACAACGATAATAAAGTTGTGTTAAGTTCAGAAATATTGGTACTTCCCAAATATGTTTCTGAGATACTATTTTATAAGACCCATAGACATTTATGTGTGGCTTAAATTGTATTGATATAAAATGTTTTTTTTGTTTTTATTATTATCTCATATTTTTTAGGACCGAAAAAGATGTTGAGACGTATTATACTCAGGGTGCAATATTGACATGCAAAATTTGTGGTGGAGAATGGCTGAATGAAGCAAAATTTAAACAACATTTAATCAATCACCAACGAATAGTAGTCAAAGGTGAAGAGGTGATGATCAAAGAGGATCTTATGAATTCTGAAGAATATACTAGTCCGCCTTTGTTAAAATGTACAAATTGCGGTGGAAACTGGATTGACAAAAGGAAGTTTAAAAAACATACTAAGCTGTGCTTTAAGGTGACGCAGGAAACTAAGGTAAAGAGAACTAAAAAGGAAAAAACAACAAAACTAGGGTTGGCTCAAACACCTGAGGATGTAGAACAGGAAGAAGAGGTTATAGAATACAGTGCACGAGGAAGAAAAATAATTCGGCCTAAATTATACCAGGCTGGTGACACTGCACCTAGTAAGCGATCTCAAATATCAATAGAAGACATCCCAGGTTCCTCTACCCCAACCCTTGCTGATAAAGAAGAGAATGAAGGATCCCTTGCTAATGAAGAAGGAAATGAAGGAACACTTTTTGATGAAGAAGAGAATGAAGGAATAGAGATGGCGGAAATTGAGGATGACACTGATGATAATCACGTTTTATTTGAGTGTGAAAAGTGCATGCAGATGTTTGTAACGGAGGAGAAATTCACCGACCATGACTGCTCCGCGGTTCCACGCCGAAAGCTTTACCTGGAGTGCCAGGTGTGTACAATAGTTTTTCAGACTAATAAATCGTTCAGGGCTCATATGAAGAAGTACCACGTGGATCAGTCATTTACATGCAAGTACTGTCATACAGTGTTCATGAAACGCACACACTACGATAACCATATGGAGATGCATCAAAATAAACAGGCCGGGATTTCATTTGAATGTAAGCCATGCAGAATGTTGTTCTACACAAGGGTGCAGCTGATGAACCATCAGAATGATAAACACAATATGCAGCATTACCCTTATGTCTGTAAACATTGTGGCAGAGCTTTCCGTAAACCAGCAAGTCTGGACTTTCATCTCTACGAGCACTCGTCATCAAAGCCCATAAGGTGTGCGAAATGCCCAGAAACATTTGCAAAGTTGAAGCTGTTTAGCACTCATATGGAAACGCACATAAACCAAGAATTGGGTACAAAAGAGGTTTGTCGGTTTTGTGGAAAGCAGTATCTGAACAGAACAAGCTTAAAAAATCACATCAGTTTCGTCCACAAAAAAGCTGACAAAATGTGCGAAGTATGCGGAAAGGTTTTCAAAAATGCTGATCACCTCAAAAGACACCGCAACACCCATGATGCAGTGAAGCCTTACAAGTGTTTGGATTGTGGGAAGGATTTTGCCGAGTTGACAAATTTGAGGAAACATTCCAGGATTCATACTGGATTGAAGCCTTACAAATGTGATATCTGCAGCTTGAGTTTTAATCACAATGTAAGTCTGAAGACGCACAAGAAGTCAACGCATGGAATTGACTGGTGGGCAGAGGATAGTATCATTAAAGATCTACAAAAACAGTTGGTAGAAAATATGAACAAAAATGAATAATTTGACAAACAAATCTGGCATTTTTAGCTTTAAACACGATATATCTTAATATATCGATGTATTTTAATATACCATCTACTTTTTCTTAAATTGAGGTGACGTGTATTGACTTGCACCTCATAACCAATTTTAGGTTTATTTAAGTGTATTCTGTGCAGGCGCGGATCCAAGATGGGAAATTCATGAAAAAAAAAAAGAGAAAAAAGAAAAAGGGGGAAAAAAAAAATTATTTTCAGGTGTCTAGAACACAGAAATTTCTCGGGGGGAATACCCTCTGGACCCCCTAATGTATTGTTATCTCGGTCGGCCCCACTTTCGGGGGGGGGGCCTCCCCCGCCCCTCTTTTGGACATCTCTGGATCTGCCCCTGCTGTGTGCACAGTACACTGTGTGTATTTGTATGCATGTATATATTATGCATAGATATTTTAACATAATACTGTACTGGGATGTAGAGGCATATACTTCGTAAAGTGAAGCCACCAGTCCCATGCATGTTCTAATAGCAGGTTAGTACATTTCAATGACTCTTCAACCTTACGTGCAGAAGCCTCACATTTTCATTATTTCAGAAAATTTCTGTATGTAAATATTCCGGTTGATGCAGATGGTACTGTATACCATAATTAATTTAAATTTCTGAACAAATTCATCAATTGTGAAGATGGTTATTTAAGTGACATGTGTACTTAATCAAGTCAAATTTATTAGTCATGGCAAATACATAGATTGAAATGTGTGTTGCTTGGCATTAGCTGCATAGAATAAATACACAAAATGTTGCTTATTAATGAATATTGTGATGCGCTAATGGACCTTTTTGTTATGCCCTGCCCATTAAATATTATTGTTTCTAGGTCCCACAAACATTTTGAGCCTTGCATCAATATGTTTTTGATTGTAAACTTGTGTGTTTATCAGACATGTGCATACTCCTGGTTGTTTGACACTCATTTGATTGACGCTTTGGAGTAGTTCATTTGAGATTATAATTAGGGTATATTTAAGTGTCTAAATGTATGTTGTTTTCAAAAGTCATATTTTAAATTGTGCAGTCTGTATGACGTGTGCATTCTAACAATCCTCCGTGGTGGGGCCAGTATCTGAAGTCGGGGGTGGGCAAGTGAGGGGCAAGGTAAAATTTTATGGGGGCCCCCAATATGTTTTCCCATAGCAGACCGGAAGTACAATTATAATAATAATTAATGTATTAGCCAATTTCCAGTAGGAAATATTTGGCACCAAATAAAGAAAGTTGGTAGTAAGACTTCAAATTCACAACATTAACGGGTAACACTTCTAATCTGCATGTTATTTTGTTTGCAAGCCCATATATAAGATTTTCGAAAAGTGGGGAGAGTGGGGTGGAGGGGGTTCTACGCTATCGAGCCCTCAGGATATGGCTGCGTCCACAGGCCGAGAAGCTCCGACAATGTAGAATTTTGAGGCCGTATATGTAATTGATTTCTGAAACCCATAATTCGTGATATTCTATTTAAATTTCCATTCATTTTGGTGTTGTTGGCTCTAGTATTCAAACTGTCGGTCGCGACCCAAGAGAATCACCAATATATGATGCAGCGTCGCCGAACTTTTCGAGAGAGCTCTCTCTGGCGGGAATCCTGCCTCCGCAACTGGAACCACATAGTTACCAACAGTCTCGCATCGTGCGGGACGGTCCCGCTCAAAGTGATCTGTCTCTTATACACATCTAGATGTGTATAAGAGACAGGTCAAGGGTGGATCCAGTTATGCCTCGAAATTTTAAAAGGCGAATATTGAAATTAGCACTCTCACTTATCTGTTCTGAATATGTTGTTGCCCCCCCCCCCAGCATTTGAAAAATTCTGGATCCTCCCCTGCCAGTGACCTTGAAATGACAGACCAATCGGAGCAGTTAATTTTGCTGATGATGTGGCATTGGGGCATGAAGAAAAATAAGAAGATTCATTTATGTTATTCCCTTGAGCACGATGAGCTATGCTTATACAGGTACGTGTATTGCTTAATGTCACACCTACCACAAGTTCCCTTACAAAGTGAATCAATGTTTTTGTTACGGTTGAGTTTGTCTTGAGAAACATAATTTGATGTAGAAAATATTCAACATTCTTATCAAGATTATTATGTAAATAATTCATACAGACGTTTGTTTTATTGGTAATGTTTTATTTATTCCTCTTGTTAATGTGAAGTTGATCAATTTTAATTACCTTTAAAAGGTATGAGGAAATTTGAGTTTGAAACAATCAAATTTGAATGTAGAAGAAAAATTGTTGTGCAAAGTGTTTTAATTTGTATGTATTTCATAATTTTATTTAGAAAATTTAAGTTTTAAGATACTTCTAATTACACCTAGAAATAATCTTAACTATAAAGATCAATTTTCAATTTTGACTACAAAAATTCTTAAATTTGCTGACATATCTGAAGTCAGCCCGCACTGCATACAAACAATTAATTACAGATTGTTATTGTCATTTTTATCTGCAATAGACGGATTATGTGAGCCAATTTGCCTTATTCAATAGATGCCTGTCACTGCATCCGGCAAAAATGAAAACACAGTAGAACCCCACTATTCAGGGACATGTCTATCAGGGGAAAATTTTCCATGAGAAAATGGGAAGTAAAATTTTGGGATAAAACTACACCCAACCCCTGTGTATTGTGACAGCAAATGTGCAGATCTGTTTTGAAAGGTGGGGGTGGGGGACATTTCGTGGTGCTTAGGCGCGAATATTTAAGGAAATAGTACCTTTAGATGGCTGGAAATGACATTTTTATATAGTAAAATTCATCATTATCACATCACCATTATATAGTCTAAATGAAGTGCCAGTAAATTTCTCATGACCTTTTGTCAGAGATTTTCGGCAACCACAGAGATCTAATTAATATCATTGGTGTACATTACCATAGAAAATAAAACTTAATTGCCTTTGATGTATTTACTTCACTTTACCTCATGTTTCCAAAAACCATCTTTGCACGCTTTGGTCCTAAATGTGCTTTTAGACCACAATATTAGGGATTGGCAATCAAAATAGCGTTATTTGGATAGGCAAATTATTATTTTTTTATATTTTTGGTCCGACGACCTAGTCGTTCATCTGACGAGGGGAGTCCAGGCCTGTCTGATGGCCGGGCAAATGCCTCCCTGCCACCCGCTGGCACCTCCACTTGTGATACAGGTATCTTGCTATATAATCAGTGGCGGATCCAAGGGAGTTCAAGGGGTTCGGACAAACCCCCATCTGTGAAGAAACTTAAAAATACTATTGGGTCATGGCTTAGAAAAGGCATTACCAACAGTCTCGCATCGTGCGGGACGGTCCCGCTCAAAGTGATTCTGGATGTAACACGCATTTGGCAGAAACACATGCGTGATCTTAAATTTGTCACGCATTTAAAATTAGAAGAAATTAGTTTTATTAAAAATATAAAACAATCATGCAGTAACTTTAGTCATTAGACAGCTTTCGTTATCTCGTTTGAGATTCAATTCACTGAAAGCTTTGGCGCGGTGGCGCGTGCGGTACTGCGCGTTCATTGTCACAACCAATGTTGATTAAAACTGAAACTGCAGTTGTCAGCATCAATCACGCACGCAGTCAGGTAAGTACAGTATTTACGTGAATACTTAATTGACTGACGCGTTAATAAAAATTGACTGGTATGGTTATCTAGTTCTGGTTTTGGTGGGTAAGGCCGATCTCCTATGGACTCCAAACGTGTAGGACCATGGTTCTTAATAGGTGGCCCGCGGGCCAAATTTGACCCATGAAGCTATCCAAAAATAAAAACAAATTAAATTGAATATTTTGATAAATAATTTTCTCATTATAAATGAAGACAACAACGACAATTCCTAATATATATATATATAGGCCTATTAACTACCAAAAGTCAAAACAACAGAACCTTGTTATTTTTAATGTATTTAATCTTTTTAATGAATTTTCCAATGTTTCTTAATTCATTTTAAAAAATTATTTTAAATACAAAAGAATTTTGTTTTTGTATTTAAAAAGAAGTTTGTGTAATATGGGGGAAATTGTTTTTTTTTTGTCCTTGTTTTCAAAATGTCTATCTACTTTTAAATTTTGATTTTTAATTTTAAAAAGATCATGCGTGTGAACATGGCTAATATTGTATAGAAAATGAATGTGCATGTTGGTTTGTACGCAAGCTTGTCTTCGAGTCGGGTTAACCCACTGAAATCTAAAAAAAAAAAAAAATAATCTGCTATAAAAAAAACGCCAAAGATTAACTTAGTTCTAGCTATATCTGGGAAAGATTTAGTAGACTCAAAATCGAGGTGGTTTGAGGCTTTACTTTACAGAATATAGCACTATTACGGTGGCTACTTGCGCGCCACCTGCTAATTTTTCCCACATTTTTTTTTTCTGCCTTAGAGAGTTATTCCCCAGGCTATTTCCCTCCATTTTTTCGATACATTGTTCCTGATAATTATTCTATTGATTTTTTTTCCATCAGGTTATTTTCATTATACTTTATAAGAGAGAGAACATTTTTATTTTAATTTTTAATTTTGTGTTTTCTCTATATCAATCAATTATTGTCTAGTCGTTAGGTTATACTACAAAGGTGTGCTGATGATACAAAAGCGTTATTCAATCAATTGACTAATTGACTTGATGCATTCGTAATACAGTATTGATGAAGCCTAAATACACATTGTAGAAACGTTTTCAAATTTTTAATCTGGTTTTACATAAGAAAACAGGATATCTTCATAACATGTTTCCTCTTTTGGAATTTCGATATCACACCTATTTTCTAGTCGTTCTATATACCCATTATCTCTCTGCATCCACAAAAAACACTCCGGCAAGTAGCGGAAGTATAATTTCTGTACTTTTACAGTGCTTTTGAGGTCAATGCCAATTAGTGATTCTCTTCTACGATACGCCAACTTATATTTCAAATTATGTGTTACGGTTGATGGTAGCAAATACGCCTATATCATCATTAATAATAATAATAATAATAATAATAATAATAATAATAATAATAATAATAATAATAATAATAATAATAATAATAATAATTCTGGATGTATATAGCGCTTCAGGTTGACACAACCTCGAGAAATGATTTCATTCAATTAATGTTATTTAATTTGTTTATCAGAAAATTAGGTCAATTTATGCTTTATAAAGTACCGCATGCGTATTATATATATTGTTAATGTTTATGTTACTAACATATTTCTTATTGTTTTAACCAACTAGGATGTGAACAGAATATTGATAATTATGTACGTCTTCTTTGCAAGTTACAGAATTTGTTACCATAGGCCTATATTGTAACAAAAAGTAGAATTTGAAATTACCAAAACATTATAACGACTTCCTTAATGACCGGTACTCAGATATTATCTTTTGGCCCGTGAGCCCAACTCAAAATAAATGTTGGCCCTTTAAACAAATTAATTAAGAATCAGGGGTGTAGGAGTATAATAGTAGGGGTAGAAAGAGTGTCGAATGTTAGGAAAGGTTTACCACCGCAGCCTATTTTTTTTTTTTTTTTGAGTAATAAATGTTTATGCACATAGTTCGGGTGCTCAAATTAAACATACATTGAAACTCGAATTGTACATTTCTTTATTAAAAATATTTTTGTTTATGTGCCCGGTATTGTCAACAAACACTCCCTAAAAACAGCTTTAAAAATGCTCAGTCAGAACGCCCAGGAGGTATTCCCCCAGAACCCCACCGGGGCCCGACCGTGGACCCCGGCGGGGGCTCTGCTGCTGCCGCGTTTCAAATCACGCATTTCAAATATTTCAGGTTGGTAACCAGTGTGACCACTGCTTGGGTATTTACCCAAGATCTTGGGTATTTTGTTTTGACTTGGTCTTGGGTTCTTGGGTATTCCGTTCAAATCCTTGGGTATTTTATTTTTACTAAGAAAATTAAATATTTTTGTCATAGAGGAAGAATTAAGAAGCAACAAAGTATATGTCAGTCCTTTCAAGTAAGCAAAACTCAACGAAGTGCACATAACATTGTTAATTG